TCTGAAGTTGGATGCAGGTTTTTCATCTCACCCTGTATATTAGGTATTGTTATGATTTTAGCGGTATGAAGGAAACCGTCTCCATATATCCGCCAAATAAGGCTTTCATTTGAGACTTTCCTCCGGACTTTCCTCCTTTCTTTTTTTTTTTTTTTTTTGAAAAATGTCAAGTTCCTTTGGAATGGTGAAGAGTATTAAAAATTCGATCCGACCGAACTTAGCTGTTTTTTTACTTTGTCAAACTTGATCAAACTAGTTTAAAAAAATGAGCTATTATAGCCCTTATTGCCATGAAAAAATTCACATTTAACCCCCGTTGGTCCACGATATTATAGCTCTGATTGTCCTTGACAATAATTCATAGTCTTATTTATAACCAAATTATTGTTTAATTATTTATTTATTTATTTATTTATTTATTTATTATTTTTTTTTTTTTTTGAAAAATCCATGTATAAATAACCTTCGTTGTTCATAAAAAATTTTTCGAAAACATAGCTTTGTTAAACTGTGGAGAAATTATCCACTATCCAGGAGAAATGATGAAGGCCTGAAAGTAGTAGAAAAATGTTCTGAAAAACCTCGATTAAAACAAATTGCTAAAACCGTATAATTTGAAGGTTTTTTAAAAATGCTTTTAAATATCCGCACACTATTAATGTTAACAAATCTCTACTCTTTGTCCTTAAAGGGTATTATTTATAACCCCAATGGAATGGTTCAATTGTATATAAAGAAGACTTTAATTGACCTTGAAAAATACTCAAAAAATATTAAAATTAAGCTTCAATGGTCTCTAAAAATGTGTGTTTTAAAATCCGTTATAGAAACCTTGATTATTCTTAAAAAAATGTTCTTAATATCCTATCAGATAAAAATCTAATAAATAAAGGTGTATTACATTTTGTAGCCTCATTCTCATTCTTCTATGTGGCCATTTTCAATATTTCATTGATTGAAAATTCTGAAGAGAAATATTAGAGAATATGCTTCGATTGAAAGGAATTCCATTGTTGTTGTTGCTATTTTTTTGTGACGTGAAATGTAGCAAAACAATTTTGTTGATTTATGTCTAAGACGCGTGCTATCATTTAACAACAACAGCAAATACAATTGAACTACATACATACCTAACAACAAAGGATGACTCGTAACATTGTTGGTGGCAATGAAATCAGACAAAATGGCAAACATTATTTTTTATAAGCAACAACGAAAACAACAACGGCAGCAGGAGTGACATGGCCAACAGCAGCTGTAGCAGAAAAACAGTCTCCAGAAGCGGGATGTGTTACATTGAACACACTCGTACGAAAAACATATGTTGTACCAAATATATATCCTCGGGATATTTCTATGCACGTCCTTCAATACAAAACAGTGACACATACACACGCTCGCACTCACACTCTCACCCTCACTCTTACTCTCACACCAGTAAAACAAAAACTTATTAACAACAATATTCTATATACCTCACCTCCTTCGCATTCTGACAGTCATGTATGTTGGTGAGCGAGTTTGTGTGTGTGTGCGTGTGTGTGTTTGGCAAAACGACACGACACCACACAGAATTCGAAACACCGTTATATCGTAACGTCGGAATGCAAAAGCCTATTTTTATTATTAATAATAAATACCGACACGTCAAAAGTGTTAAACAATTTTTATGATGATATTAATAAAGCAACAAAGTCACGTTTATATCCGACAATAACAATGGCAACAACAACAGCAGCAGCAGCGGCTATGAAAACAAGCGTATTGGTAACATCATAACAAACACTCTTACGTGCCGTTCGTTATATGAAAAGGAGAATATGCCCATTCCTGTATTTGTTTATTTTCCATAGGTGTACAACTTTGTTAAGGCTAAAGAATCGATGGGTTGGAAGTCTTTGCTCCATCAGTCGGAGATAAACACACGAATACATATAATATCCTGAATTTTGTATGTGAGTATCTATGGCTGGTATTTTAGTAAAACAGAGAAAGTGTAGTATTCGTTCAGCATTCGATCCTTGTGTGGGCCTCTGGAGCTTACAATACAAGCGACGATTTTAAAGGGCGATATGACTGTCATTGGAAGGATGTTATTTTCATTTAAAAAAGCACCTAGAGGTCTTAATGTATATAGAACAGTATTTTCTAAGCTCTATTAACACTCTTATACAGGGTGGGATGAAAAAACTGCAACCAGATTCAGACAGCTGTCGTTTCGTTGACTCAAAAGAGCTAAAGAGTTTCGTCGCATGGCCGAAATTGGTGAACTGTCGAATTTGGTTTTCTCAGATGAAAAAAACATTCGTTGTCCAGCAGTTTGTAAACAAACAAAAACCCAAGAATGGTTACAAAATGAGATTTCTCGCTACATTTCCAGCACACAATGGCCACCAAAATCTCCGGATATCAATCCGTTGGACTATTGTGTCTGGAGTATTTTGGAAAGCAAGGTTGGCACTAAAACATACCAAAGTGTCGATCACCTCAAGCAATCGTTTCGCCGGGAATGGGCCAAAATACCGCAGAGCAACATTCGGTCAGCGTGTGATGGTTTCATTGGCCGTTTGAAGGCCATAATTCACGGCAAAGATGATCAATTCGAACAAATCTTAAGTTATTCTAAACTTTGATGCTATTTCCGGCATTTTTTGCTTTCATTTAATAAAATTTAAAAAAAAAAAAAAAATGTAAAAATGATGGCATTTGACTTTGTTGCTGTGCTTGTGTTCCTGTAAATTTTACTAACAGGCAGGTTAAGTTCGTAAATAGGCCATGTTGGTCCAAGTTTTTGTATAGCCCCCAAATAACGTTACCTCCCGATATTCTGCATTTTCATGATTACAACGACATTATTGGTTCAAATTTGGTATTCAAAGTTCATAATGGCTACTACAGGCTATGTTGAAAACAAGTTAAAAAGCAGTAAGTTCGGCCGGGCCGAACTTAGAATACTCTCCACCATTTGGAACGAATTTGGGAATAAAATCCTTGAAAATTCTGTTAAAATTTTAAAAATACCGAATATAGCCGTTATATTGGTGTCTATACGACGTGGACCTACATATGCATTGTTTGTCATAAGTCATTACCATATTCAAATTCGAAACTTGAAATAAACGGTGAATAATGTATGTATATAGGCAGGTACCGTTATATCGGAGCTGTGTGAAGACCTGGACCAGCATAGACAATTTTCTGTCATACGAACTTCAAATACGACATCGCAAACAATTTCGGTGGGTATTGTATCTAAACTCGTCAAAATACCGAATATAGGGAGGTACTGGTATATGGGGCCTATACGAAGACCTGGACCTGCATGGACAATTTTCGGTCACAGACTGTAGATCTCATTACAAACTCGTATAACCGCCTTATAACGTATAACCGCCTTATAACGGTACCTTCCTATATTCGGTGTTTTGGTGATTTTAGCGACATTATTCACCGGAATCGTTTCAAATTTGGTATTTGAAGTTCGTAATGGGTACCACAGCCTATGACAAAAAATGTCGTAGGCAGGTCACGTCATCGTATAGTCTCCATATAACAGTTTTTATTTCAGTGGTAGTTTCCGGAAGTTTTTTTTTTAAATTTTTCAAGTTTCTTCCAAATAATGGAGGGTTGGAAAAATTCTATTCTTAGCTGCTGTTTTACTTGTTTATGTTTTTTTTTAATTTCCAAATTCATCCCAATTGGAGAAGGTATTCAAAGTTCGCCCCGGCCGAACTTACTTCTTTTTTTACTTTTTTAATACTTGAAGTCCTTGAAGCCATCTAAATATTTTAGGAAGATAAATTTTGGCAGAATCAAATTAAGGGATTTCAGAAAAATATATATATTTCCGGGACCATAGTCGAAGATTTTTCAAAAATTATTTTATAGGTATCTTCAGGGTGATAATAAAATTATTATAACATCAAATTTTCCTTCATACTAAAATCGTAGTTTTTATTGTTTATTTTAGATATTCCTTTGTGCCCATAATGTAGGATTTTTTTTTTAAATAATTTTTGAGCGTCTTCAGTGCTATAATTTTTGATAAAAAAAAAATATATTTGTTGAAACCTCCTCGACAGTAACATTGCCTTTTATTTCATTTATTTATTTTTTGTAATCTTTGATTTTTTATATAGTCCTTAAAAATACATTTATTCCAAATCCGCTCTTGAAGCTCAAACAGTCCTTTGAAATATATTTGATCAAAAGCCTCGCGTAAACTATAGCTAGAATAGCAACACATGGTGTTGCGGGGTGTAGAAAAACTTTACAAAATGTACAATTCAAAATTGTAAGTAAAATTGAAAAAAATAGCATGCGATAAGAAATATGACAAACAATTAAGAAATGTAACAAAAATTTTCACTTTTTCACTGTCATATTTTTACGCGATTTTATTTGATTTTATACTTTTCTGGCAAATACCATTCCGAATTGAGGAAAAATTTGAAAATCAGTCCATCGGTGATAGGCAGAGTAACTAACATGTATTGTACCTATTTGGCTATATATTCTATATCTTGGCTTTCAGCATTATTGCAATGGTAAGAAGCGACCTTTTAATCAATTTGTGATTCCACCGGGATTAAAAATATTCGCGGTTTAGTGGAAGATTTCCTATCTATTGACATAAAAATTATGGCTTATTTTACCCGGTAAATACTGTCCTATACAAAATCAAGATATTTTTCTGTTTAAACTCTAAATATTTTGCGATCATCTCCAAAACCAATAGGCTTTTATTCTGACCCTACCCCACCTTCATTATCAAATTCGTGAGGATCGGGCCAAAATTTACGACCTGTAGCGTGATTACAAATTAACATGTTGTTGAAAAATTCAAGTATATGCTTCTGATAGCCCTTGAAAAAATATTCTTTAAAAACTTTAATACTTTTTTGAACGGAATTCTCTGATTGTGTTTAAAGTTAAGAATGTTCTCCTATATGACTATCATCCTCATTCTGAAGTATCCTCTTTCATTATCGTTTTTTCAGGTATCACCTATCTGCAAAATGAAAGTGGTAAAGTGAATGACTTCACGGTTCGTCTTAATGACGGAGATATCATTTGCAACTGATACCAGGAAAATGACGCTTATTGGAAAATTTCGTAAGTAGCTACATCTAAACGAACATTTTCAAAATATCTTTTTGCAAAATTTAAATTACAACCATTCAAAAATTTTGCACTCAACAAGATGTCCCTTGCACTTGAGGATGAAAATAAAAAAGAACTGCTTCATTTTGCCAAACACCACACGTGCTGGGCATAAATAATCACGGTATTGGCTAATACGCCCGAAAATTTTAAAGGATAACCATTTCTTATTTTCTCTAATTTTTGTTTTTGCCAAACAAAATCATATGCAAAAATCTCGACGGCAGCATCAACGAATAAGCGCAGACAAACAGGGCAAACAACCAACAAATCTCGACAGAAGCAGCAAATCTCATCAAAACTTAGGCACACGTAAAAATCATAAAAATCAAAACTCTGCCATTTAACATCATTGCTCAGCTACGCAAAAGGAACAGATATTTTCTATAAATTTCCACTCCGTGCCAAAAAGCATATCCTTATGACACAGCACAAGGTTGGGAAGAAGAGTTGCCCCGTAGAAAAAGTATTATGCTACGGGTATATGACGGCGGCGGCGGTATTCGTTTAAGTTTTATCTCAAAGATGCCTTCCTTTCTGTCTTAAAGATATGCCCGGTTGAGTTGGAAGAGAAAAAGAGGAAAGAGCATGCCATTGAACACCAAAGTACTTTAGGTGGAGGTGGCTGTGTGTGTGTCTCTGCATGGGTGGGTGGGTTGTGTGTTGGTGGTCCATACCCATCCTTATTTTTTGCACAAAAACAAGATGACTTTTTGATGACACTTGACGTAGATTTTTATGGATAGCAAAGTAGTAAAAACAGAAGCCAAAGCAAAAATGAATGCCATGAAATATATAAAAATTCCAAACAGAAACCAAAGACAGAAGATAGGTAGCCTTTTAGTTCATGCGTCGAAAGTAAAGAAAGGAAAGGTTTTGAAAAAAGAACGGCACAAGAAAAAATGGCTCAATAGTACCCTATAACAGTACAGGTGTTAGGAGTCGAAAGAATCTTGAAATTTTGGGTAAGGGTCACTCTTGGTCCAAAGGGGTCAGACAAGGCTGGGTTTTTGGAAATTCGTACTAGAGCGGTATTAAAAGTACTAAAAGGTACTAAATATTGTACCCTTTTGTATTTGACGAGCTAGTAGAGTTAGAATTCTTAAATTTGGAATAAAATTCACTGATGGAGTGTATGTTGGATGTACCAAAGGATTTTTTGGAAATGTGCACTATTAGTGTACGAAAAGCACCAAAACGTACTATATTTGGTACTATTTTGCATCATGTGAACGTTTAGAGCTAAAAACTTGAAATTTATAATGGGAATCAATTTTAAGCAGTAGGGACGATGTATGGAAGAAGTTTTGGAAGTGGGTGCTCATGCATACGAAAAGTACTAAACGGTACTATATTTGGTACAATTCAAATTTGGAGGAACGGTTGGAGCTGGAATCCTCAAATTTGAAATTAACAATACTGGCTAGAAGTAGGGGTGTGATAGTTTTCGAAATTTTGTACTTTGCGAGGAATTTGGAAATACACACTAAAAAGTACAAAAAGGACAAAATAGTACTAACTTTATTATTAGGGGAAGTAGTAGAGCTGGAAATCTGAAATTTGGACTATAGACTAAAGAGTTTTTTTTAATTCGAACGATATGTATGCCACAAGTACTAAATTGCACATTTGGTACTATTAGAAATTGTGTGAACGTTTCCGCATACGAAGTAGCGGGCATATTCTAGTAGCCTATGCTAGTCCATAGATAAAAGACCTTCTGAAGGTCTTCTCTTGATAGATCACCTTCCGAAGGTCCTCTATAGAAGACAGACCTGCTAATGGCTCTCTATAGTCATACGACCCCCGTAAGGTCGCCTAAAGATAAGTTTGGCAAATTCGCACTTGAAGACTACGAAAATTACAAAAACTCAAAAAAGGTACGGTACATTTTTTAAGGGACCAGTAAGAGCTATTATGCTCTCTTTTCGTGTGGAGGAGTGATATAAGGTTTTCTGTGGAGATAAGGTCCCCTTAAAGAAGACAGGACACATTTAAGGACCCCTTAAGAAAAAAGATCGTAGCGGTGGATGATCACAGATTGAAGTCCCATTATAGACTGTCACGTTCAGGTTAAGATTCCTTGGAATCATGTGTCTAAATCCGTAAATTTTAGATACATGGTGTCTCTCCGTCAATAACGCAGATAACAAAACGAGAATTATTTTGGGGGAAATTATTAACAACCAAGCCAATCGCCAGGATTTCCTGTTGTTCTTTTTTCTAAATATGCTTGATAAGTCTCTTTAAACGCGATCGTAATAAGTCAAAATAGTACGCAAATTTATTTGTCATAAAATGCTACTATAGTTTGAAGATCTTTCAAAGTTCCTCTGTGGACAGAAGAATTTCAATGTCATTTATAAATAGGAAATTTTTTTGAGGTCCCCATGCATAAAATATTTTCTAATGATCTGCTTTGTATAGGAGCCTTTCTAATGGTCCTCCATAAAGAAGGTCTTATAAATGTGTTTATTCTAAATGTCTTCTATATAAGGAGGGACTTATATAGTTCTTCTGAACATGAGAAAACTTTCTAAATATTCTTTATAAATCAGATTTTGAAGATTTTCTATAGGTAGAAGACATTCTAATGGTCATCTTCACATGAAATTTTGAAAGTTCGTTGCATACAATATTTTCTTAGGATTCATCTTCAGGTTCTCCATTAATAGAAGAATTCATATAGGAGACCCTATACAGGTCCTTTATAGCCAGAAGCTCTTCAGAATGTGCTATATACAGCATTTCTAATAATTTTCCATAGATACATTTTCATCGAAGACATTCGTATTCATCTGTAGGGCATTCACAGTCATTCATGGACCAACCTAACTTCTCTTTTGAAGGAATAGAAATCTCTTTTTAAGTTATTTCTTTTTCACAATGTCCACACACATCCTTGCACCTGTCTTTTACTTTACCCTGCATTTTTCTTCTTATCTTTGTCTTTGTGAATATTTTCACTGTTATTCAAATGCAATTTTTGTAAAGTTGAACATTTACAACGTTTGTTCAAATGTAAATGTTGAATTGTTTCTTTGTCGGAAAGCGTTTGTTGTTGCTCTTGCCACCAGCTAGCATTACATTTTTTTAGGTTATAATTTTATTATCGCTGCAGTGAATATTAAGGAAGTATTTTCGTTAAATATTTAGCTGTGAATTCTTTATAATTTCTACAGAAAATTGTTTGAAAAATTAAATATAAAATATTGTAGATACTATCATGGTTTTGATGGTTCAAAACAATTAACAAAGCGAACCTTTCTCTTTAATTGATAATAACCTTTGAACCTACAACCGGCGAACATGTTCTTAGATGAGGGATCTCAAATTCATAAATGAAAAAAAAGTTGAAAAGTATCAGTCGCTTTCCTAAACAGATACATACCCTCAGCCAATCGAACACTTAAATAAATTTTGACTTCTGTTATGATTATTCAAATTGTTGACCCTCAATGGCGCAGGTTCCGAAGGAATTGGCCAAAGTTGTTCACTTCATATCGGACCTAAAAAAAATATGATTTAAATATTGAAACGTGCCAGGTTTGGACTATATCGATTGCTTTCTTCTCTTTATATGAGCTATGTGAAAAATGTGCATGAGATACCAGATATATTCGACCGAACCTGGTTTCTGGTTGAGAGAAATATTTAGATGTTGCAGATTTTAAGCTGAGTTTTTTTTCTCAAATCATGACAGTTAAAAGTACTGAAATTTGTGAAGCTTTGTGGGTAAGGTACCAGGAGGAGTTCGCAGATATATATCATCTTCATAATAGATCTTGTGTTAGCAGAAATGTTTGTTTGTCTCAAATTTTAAGAGAGTTGGATGCTTATTTCGCTTTCTTTGATAGTTTTTTTTTTTTAACCTTGAGCCCTATGTGGAGGAGGTACCAGAAGAAATGGTCCGATCTCTATCATATTTAAAACAGATCCTTTCTTGATGGATATATTGACATGTTCCAAGTGTGAATGAATATGGATGTTAATTTCGCGTTTTATGAGCATCATGGGTATTCAGAATTTTGACCCTTTACAAACCAGACCTTGGGTTAATAAAAATATTGTGATGTGTGTAATTTAAAGAGAACTGGATCTTTTTCGCATTTTATGATCGATTGCTTTATTCAAAACTTTGAACCTCTGTGGTCGAGGTACCAGAAGGAATTGCTCGATCTCTTCTATCTTCACCACAGATCTGGAGTCGATAGAAATATCGAGATGTGCCAAGTCTGAAAGGAATCGGATGATAATTTCGTGTTTAATGAGCTTCATGAATATTCAAAATTCAATTTGCTAAATTTCAAGACAATCTTATATTACATTTGATGATATATAATTATTCAAAATGTTGACCCTTTGATGGAGTGGACCGATTTTGTCGATTTTCTCACGTGACTTAGCACTCATTCAAATATTATGATTTGCAAAGTTGGAGCAAAATCGGAGTATCTGTTCTTCTTCTGTGTCGTAAGTTTTTATACCCTCCACCATACTATGGAGGGTATATTAATTTTGTCATTCCGTTTGTAACTCCTCGAAATACTCATGTCACACCACACAGAGTATATATATTCTTGATCAGCGTAAAATTCTAAGATGATTTAGCCATGTCCGTTTGTCTGTGTGTCTGTCTGTCTGTTGTAATCACAATTGAGATGGAAGGCTAAAATTTTGCACACATGTATATTTTGCCAGTAGGCAGAATAAGTTCATAAATGGGCCATGTAGGTCCACGTTATCATATAGCCCCCATATAACGGTACCTCCCGATATTCGGTATTTTGATGATTTTAGCGACATTATTCAGCGGAATTGTTTCAAATTTGGCATTTGAAGTTCAAAATGGATACTACTAAGTTCGTAATAGATACTGCAGCATTAAACAGAAAATGGGTCATGTAGGTCCACGTCTCCGTATAGCCCCCATATAACGGTACCCCTATATT